TCCTCTGATGTTCCTCTGATGATCCTCTGATGTTCCTCTGATGATCCTCTGATGTTCCTCTGATGATCCTCTGATGTTCCTCTGATGTTCCTCTGATGATCCTCTGATGATCCTCTGATGATCCTCTGATGTTCCCCTGATGTTCCTCTGATTATCCTCTGATGTTCCCCTGATGTTCCTCTGATGTTCCTCTGATGTTCCTCTGATGTTCCTCTGATGATCCTCTGATGTTCCCCTGATGATCCCCTGATGTTCCCCTGATGTTCCTCTGAAGCTGAACTTTCATATTTCTCCAGTATCAGCTGCTGGATGGAGCTCAGGATTTTATATAGATGGAATCGGCGTCGTAGCCCCGCCCACCTACGCTGATACGCCATGGCGTCAGAAGCAGAGAACATGGCGGCTGTGCTGAAGGCGGAAGGTAAAGAGCTTTAACTGATGTCTTATTCTCTGGTGTCGGTACCGTAGGTTCGGTTGGTACCGGTCAGAACCCAGCTGGTTCCGGTCCCTGGCCGCGGGCTGAGCTCTGCTAGCCGGAGCTGCAGCCCCGCAGCTCGGCTGCTGCAGGTGTTTATCACCGCAGGAACCAAAACATGATGGGGGGCTTCTGACAGCTGATGGGGGGGAGGAAACCTGCCGCCTGACCGGCTCAGGGTGCGCTGCTAGCCGGCCTGACCGGCTGGCTCTGCTGCGTTTGGTCTGGAGGTCCGAGCAGCTCCGAACCAGGAGGCGGCAGCTGAAGCTGCAGGGCCGGCAGGAGAAACGAAGAGGCGGCGGGAGCAGCCGGGAGAGACCGCGGTCTGAGAGCGGCCTCCGGGAGGACCGAGCGGATCCTTCAGCCTGAGCTGCTGGGGACCCAGAACCGGTTCATTAGACGCCTTTAACCGCAGATCGGAACCGGTTCATTAGACGCCTTTAACCGCAGATCGGAACCGGTTCATTAGACGCCTTTAACCGCAGATCGGAACCGGTTCATTAGACGCCTGGAACAGGTTCATTAGACACCCGAAACCGGTTCATTAGACACCTTTAACCGGGCATCAAAACAAGTTCATTAGACGCCCGGAACTGGTTAATTAGACACCTTTAACCGGGGATCAAAACAAGTTCATTAGACACCCAGAACCGGTTCATTAGACACCTTTAACCGGGGATCAGAACCGGTTCATTAGACGCCTTTAACCACAGATCGGAACCGGTTCATTAGACGCCTTTAACCGCAGATCAGAACCGGTTCATTAGACGCCTTTAACCACAGATCGGAACCGGTTCATTAGACGCCTTTAACCGCAGATCAGAACCGGTTCATTAGACGCC